AATAGACATATATTTGTATTACAAATATATACATATATATATATATGTGTGTGTGTGTGTGTGTGTGTGTATGTGTATATACTTATATATATATGTATATACTTATATATATATGTATATACTTATACATATACCTGTGTTTTAAATGCGCATCCAATAGTTTTCTTGTTATGTACACTTGGCTGTCACTTTTCTTACTACACACACCTGTGTCTATCTACCTACTACTTATTTTACTAAACTTGCTTTTAACAACCATGTCATACATGCACTTGTACTGACAACTGTTTTATCACAATCACTGTGTAGCTGTGCGGCATAAACTGAAGATGTCTATGTGGGAAAGCCACTTCAATGAGTTTGGTCGTGGCACGTGCAAGTTCAGAACTTCTGCCGACAGAAAGTTAATGATAAACGGGATACCCGATGAACTCAGAGGGGTATGTGTTGGTTTATTAGCGTACCTACTAGAATTGGGTTGGTGAGGTTTAGGGTTTAGAGTGTAAGTTTCAAACCTGTACCTCGCACGTGGTGTTGCATGAGAGAAGTGGATCTAGATGTGTTGGAGTACAGTGGCGCTATCTTCGTGTGTGTTATATGAATTGCAGTGCTTGTTTTCTCACTTGTGGTTCTAGCACACAGGAAGTGTAAGGAGTGTGAGTGCTTATTTTCTCATGAGTGGTTTTCACTCACAAGAAGTGTAGAGATTGTAAGTGCTTATTTTCTCATGTGAACTATCAGGAAGTGTACAAATTGTAAGTGCCTATTCTCTCATGTGTGGTTTTCACTCACAAGAAGTGTAAAGATTGTAAGTGCTTGTTTTCTCATGTGTGGATTTACCCCTCAGGGAGTGTAGAGATTTAGGTGCCTATTTTCTCACGTGTGTTTTTAGCCCTCAGGGATTTAAGTGCCTATTTTCTCACGTGTGGTTTCAACCCTCAGGGAGTGAAGAGATTTAGGTGCCTATTTTCTCACGTTTGGTTTTAACTCACAGGAAGTGTAGAGATTTAGGTGCCTATTTTCTCACGTGTGGTTTTGACTCACAGAAAGTGTAGATATTTAGGTGCCTATTTTCTCACGCGTGGTTTTAACTCACAGGAAGTATGGGGAATGTACTGCGGGAGCACTGCGGAGATGCAGTTGAACAAAGGCTACTACCAACAACTACTCAAACAAGTCAAAGTAGCACCACCGTCTCAGACTATAGAGGAGATTGAACGCGACCTACACAGGGTATGTATATGTGTATATGTAAATGTATATATATATATATATATATAAACACACACGTGTTGGTATATATGTATATTATAGCACTAGGGGTGTACCATCGTAGTGACTACTTCACCTTGTTATTTCCCAGATTGAGTTTATCATCGATTCCCCGCACGACCTGCACCCTGCACTGAACATTTTTTTATCATTCTATAAATACACCATATGTTCTATTTTCATATACCCCGTAGTCGCTGCTCAGCCATCCTGCATACCAAACTAAGCCATAATCGACACTGTACGGTGCCTGCTTATCAGCACTATACTGTTTGTCCCTTCTAGAACACTATTTACTCATTCCAAAAAATACCATCTGTTCTATGTATATAACATGTTCTATCTTTATACCATGTTCTATTTATATAACATGTTCTATTTATATAACATGTTCTATTTATAGAACATGTTCACATTTTTATACCATGTTCCACTATATATCATGTTCTATATTTATACACCCCGTAGTCGCTGCCCAATCATCCTGCATACCAAACTGAGCTTGGGATCGGCACTCTGCGGCGTCTTCTAATCGCATACTCCATTAGAAACCCCATAGTCGGATACTGCCAGGTATGTGATCTCTAAACCCTAAAACCCTAACCCTACAATGTACACACCCCATAGAACACTACACTATGTGTGTATAGTAACCACTCGCATGCTTGGTGATATAGATATATATATATATATATGTGTGTGTGTGTGTGTGTGTGTGTGTGTGTGCGTATGTATGTATATATATATATATACATATATATATATATATCTATATTCATACGCACAGACATGATGTGTATAATTACAAATAAGATCATTCTACGATGATAGCTGCCAAGGACATGTTGGCATGAGATTCTCTGCTGTACACTGAAGCGGAGGAGACATCCTGGCTGTTGTGTACATATGTGCATGAGTATGTATATACGTTAACGTATACACATATACATGCTTGTTTATGTAGATATACTACCATAATATACCACACACACATGCTTGTTTATGTACATTATCTACCATATTATACCACACACACATGCTTGTTTATGTATATTATCTACCATAATATACCACACACACATGCTTGTTTATGTATATTATCTACCATTCTACATCCCACATACATACTTGCTTATGTATATTACCTACTATTCTATAGCCTACACATATACTTGTTTATGTATATTATCTACCATTATATATCCCACACACATGCTTGTTTTTGTTTCTGTATATACCTACCACTATATTTGTACCCACACGCCATGAACATCTTAGCGTCTGTGTTTCTGCTGTAAAACCCGTTAACCCTAAAACTCAATATTACCTACCACACGATATCTGTACCCTCAGGCGATGAACATCTTAGCGTCTGTGTTTCTGCTGTACGCGGGTGAGGAGGAAGCGTTCTGGCTGCTGTGTGCGGTGGTAGAGAGACTACTGCCCGATCACTACCAGGCCAAGGTACACCTGCATAACACTATACCATAACATTTTAAACATTAACACTATACACATTAACATAATCATTAACACTCTAAATATTAACATTATGAACATTAACACTATACCACCAGCAAGACTACTACCCGATCACTACCAGGTCAAGGTACAGCTGCATAACACTATACCATAACATTTTACACATTAACACTATAAACATTAACATTAGAAACATTAACACTATACCATAACATTATAAACATTAAAACTATACCATAACATTACAAACACTAACACTATACCATACCGGTATAAACATTACCACTATACCATATCATTATAAACAAACATTATAAACATTAAAACTATACCTTAACATTAAAAACATTAATCTTATACCATAACATTATAAACATACATTGTAAATATTAACACTATACCATAACATTATAAACATACACTATAAACATTAACACTATACCATAACATTGTAAACATTAACACTATACCATAACATTATAAACATTAACACTATTCCATAACATTATAAACATTAACACTATACCATAACATTATAAACATCAACTCTATACCATAACATTATAATCATGCATTATAAACATTAACACTATTCCATAACATTATAAACAATAACACTATACCTTAACATTATAAACATACAATATAAACATTAACACTATACCATAACATTATAAACATACAATATATACATTAACACTATACCATAACATTATAAACATTAACACTATACCATAACATTATAAACATTAAAACTATACCATAACATTACAAACACTAACACTATACCATAACGGTATAAACATTACCACTATACCATATCATTATAAACAAACATTATAAACATTAAAACTATACCTTGACATTAAAAACATTAATACTATACCATAACATTATAAATATTAACACTATACCATAACATTATAAACATTAACACTATACCATAAAGTTATAAACATTTACACTATACCATAACATTATAAACATTAACTCTTTACCATAACACTATAAACATTAATACTATATCATAACATTATAGACATTGACACTATACCATAACATTATGTACATTAACACTATACCATAACATTATAAACATTAACACTATACCATATCATTATATACATTAACACTATACTACCAGCAAGACTGCGGGGTTTTATGACCTTACGGGGTTGATCTAATAGGTAGTATACAGTGACAGTAACATTAGCACAGTGTTATTGTTTTCTTGTGGGTTAGTGTATTGGGAAGCACATGCTTCAGAGGCCCTAAACCCTAAACTCAATACGCTAGACCCTTCATAGTGGATCTCACGCGCATACCTTCATACCACAATATCTCTCTCGCTTATGGCCCAACTTCCAACGGTGGTTGCATTGATTGATCCATGGTGTTTGTCTGCCTGTGATCTACTTCTCGGTATTAGTCCTCTTGTTCATTAACCTGTTACCATCGTTTCACTCGCAATACTAATACCCCCACCTCGATACTATTCCCAAGACGTTCTTTCCTTCCTACAGTGATGTACATCCACAGTTCGCACCACTCACCCCTTCGCCTCGATTATAGTTCACTTTCTTCGATAGTATTCCACTTTCTAGGTGATTTGTGCATTGGTAGACCAAGAGGTGTTTACCGTTTTCCAGCGAGTGATAATATAGACGTTCGTTCTTCACTTCCTACAGACCACCCACTCCTTTCTCTCGCTTAAAGTACACTTACCTCGATAATATTCCACTCTCCAGGTGGTGGGTGCGTTGGTGGATCAGGGTGTGTTTGAGGAGCTCGTCTCCGTCTTCTCGCCCGAGCTCAGCCAACACTTGTCCAGAAATGGTGTCGTGAGTATGATTGGCATCAGTTGGTTCCTCACCCTCTTCCTGTCCACTTTTAAGCTTCCGGCCGCAACCCTGGTATGTTATAAACATGCGTGTGTGTGTGTTATTGGCTTGTTTTGTGGATCTCCTGGTGTGTGTGTGTATATTTCATGGTGTGTGTGTGTGTGTATCTCATGGTGTGTGTGTGTGTGTATTTCATGGTGTGTGTGTGTGTATTTCATGGTGTGTGTGTGTGTATTCCATGGTGTGTGT